GCACTATTTGTTCAACATCGATTTGTTGTGCATCTGTCCTCTTTTATTCTTATTTCAAAAATAATTCAATATACAATGGCCTATACATTTATCTCTTTCTCATCCATCTCCAACTGGTATGGCTATGAACTATTGTTGACAAATAGAGTTTCAGCTATCCAAGCCTCCACCATAAACGAACCTTATCTTCATTCTATTAAACATTGGTATGGGTATGGGTGCCCTTGTCAAGCAACGATGGCAGTTGTGCCTTCCATTCAATATGGGGGTGGAAAGATTAGCACAAACTTGAGTGAAATAAAAGAATACATCACTCCATACAGTCTAGAGCTACAGAATGCAACCTCGGTTAATTATAAATACATTGGCCAGTTTGTGCTTCAAGCTGCTCAGGCTGAGTTACGTAAAAACCCTGAACTGCTTATATGTTATATGCCATTAGAATTATTAAAGGGAAAAATATCATTGGTTCAAGCAAAATCCATTGCAAAGATGCACAATGTTACAATATCAAGCAAATCTCCAGTTGCAGAGGTCTTGGAGGTTTTATCAGCACATATGTGTTCCTCACGATGTTCTCAATTTTATACATTGTTTGCTCCAGAGAAACCAGCTTTGACATCTTCTGAACGTCAAGCTAAGTGGTACAAGGGTCTCAGTAAAGCAGACAAGAAAAAAATCATTAAAAAAAAGTATATTAAGTTTTTAAAAGGTCCAACATACAAAGTTAAGAGAAGTAAAGAGAATAAGTCTACTTATCAGACATCAAAAATCACTAATTTCCCACCTAAACCACCCTCTAAGAAATTAATTCATAAAATAATTAGTGGATTCTGTGAAGACACACACCCTTCCAAACTTCTTGAATCTGGATGCGCAGTTTGTGGTCAGCTAACAAAATTATCGGACATGTTAAAACGATCTGATACCACAAATAACTTGGAGCCATTGATTCGAGAAGGGGTTTCCCGAATAGAAAGAAAATCTGAACATGATGAAATCCATGGAATCTCAGGGCCTGTAATTGATGATGACTGTAAATATATATGCAATACTTGCAATAAAAGTCTAGACAAAGGAAAAATACCCACTAATGCACTTTGTAATGGTTTTTGGCTTGGTAAAATTCCTGACGAGCTTGCCTGCTTAACTTACGTTGAACAGCTGCTC